TTTCAGGCTTAGCCTCTTTTTCTCTGCAGCTCCTGTGCAGGAAGCAGATGATGCTCTGTGCGCTGAACCATGAGGCAGACACAGGAGACAGTGTTCTGCAGGAGCTGTGGCAGTGAAACCCTAGGCGTGCCAACCATTCTAGAACAGGCTGAATTCCAACCTTTTGCAGAGGGTGTTAGCTGGGGCTGCTCTGCATGCTGTATGGAGTCAGGGGTGCAACAGTACGGAAAGGAAGAATGAGAGTAGGACAAAGCCTGTTTTCTTCTGTCTTTAAGGAGCGATTGTCACCTTTGGATGGACTTTGAGGTCATCCAAAATTCAACGGGGAAAAAACTGTTACATGAAATCAGCTGTAGGTGACTGGTTTTAAACGTTCTTCCAAAAGAACAATGATTGTTTAGGACACTAATGCTATGCCTTTATGACCAAACCAAAATGGCACTGTCCATGTCCTGGCCCCGAGGCCACCTCACAGGCTGTGCCAGGGATTGCTGCAGCACTTCAGCAGTGTGGATGACTGGGTACCTGTGACCATGAATGGGCATGGCTGGAAGTAGAAGTCTACACATAGACTTCCATATTTCTACCAAGGTGTAACACAGACATTCTACAGTAAAAGCCAGCTATTCTGTTGCTTTGGTTGTTTGTTTCAGTTCCCTCTACACTTCTTCCTTTTGAAGTCCTATTTTAAAAAATGCTTTGTTGCTACAGCAGGTACCACTTGAACTGTGAAGTCAGGCAGAGAAATTCAGAAGGGTTTACCCAGCATCTGATCTTACACAGGAAAACTAAAAATAAATCAGTCTTTTTCTTAGTATGAATTAGAGGTAAGAAGGGTCTGAATCTGATGCAAGTAACTTGATTTTTAAAAAGCGTGTTTCTAACACACACCTGTGATCCGAAAATTCAGGATTTTCTTCCAGTAGAATCTAAAAGTCCATGGTGTCTGCTATCATCACTACCATTGGTCACCTGAGTGCTCAGAGAAAGCAAACACAGCCAAATTAATATTCTGAAGCATGCATTCATATCATTAATCACTCTGTAAATAAGATCAGGGACTGTGGCTTACATATATCACCTGATCTTGAGTAAAATACCAACTTGTAATTAGTGAGGGAACTTAAGACTGGTGCTAAGCACACCTACCACACAGACAGATCTGATTAGGCTCCAGCATATCCGTGAACAATGTGCAGTGTGTTATTAGCTGAGCACAGGCCAAATGATTTCCAACAGAAGCCAATCAAATACTGCTAATGTCGTTAACAAACTTAAATATTTCTGTATTTTCCTAATGCTCTTTGGAGAACAATCTGTCTTTTTATTAGGGTATGGTGTCTGTAGCAGCAGAATTCCAAGCGACGACAGCGGCTGCCAGACACTGCTCCTGTGCAGACACACACCGAGGCAGGTTTGAGGGAAGACTGCTTTACTGAAGTGATACTGAACCGTCTCTGCACGTGAGCCAGATGGCCAGCTTTCTGGGGTTACGTGTCGAACCAGATTTCAGAGGCTGAGTGGAAACAAGGAATGTTTTGCCCGTGGCTCTGGCGGCAATGAAGGGCTGGGGTGGACGCTCAAGGCCTTGCCACGCACGCACCCTGGCCACCCCCTGCTGCAGTTCGAGCTTCTGGCTCAGCCCATCTGTCTCCTACCACTTCAGTGTGTCTCCCCACACCGCCACGGCACGTAAACAAGCCTCTGATCCCAGGGAAAAGTCAGCGGTTTTCCCGGATTGTGCAGGGAGCGGTGCGGCCTGCGCTGTGCCCAGGGAGGTGGGCAAGGGACCAGCTGCCAGGCAGAGGCCTGGGACAGCACAGCCTGAAGCAGGGCATGCCAGCCAAGAGGGTGATTACAGCAATGAGATTATGCTGCTCCTTCCTTGGGGATGTCCTGGGGATTATTAACCTCATTCCCATCTCTGTATGGCTCCCGGTCATGCAGGCAGGGAGCCTCTCCAGGTTCAGCTAGAAAGTGTGTATGAAATAACTGAATCCTAGAATGGTTTGGGTCAGAAGAGACCTTCAAGATCCTCTAGTTTCAACCCCCCTGCATGGGCAGGGACACCTCCCAGCAGCCCAGGCTGCTCCAAGCCCCATCCAA